CGCGGGAGAGGGCCACGCTCGCACGGCCCCGGGCCGGGCCGGGGGGACGTGGCGCGTGCGGGGTCGGCACTGACCCGCGCCAGCCAGAGCGGAGAGAGCCGTCTGTCCCCGCGCGGAGCCGGCCCCGCGCCGGGAGCACCCAGCTCTGCCGGCCTGAAACCTCAGCCCACCCAAGCCAGAGCCGCGCCGCGCCGCGCGTGTCAGCCCGGCTGCAGCGATGGGGACCTCTGCTGGCAAGTGCCCCCGTCCCGAGAGGAGCGGCCGTGTTTGAAGCAGGGTGTAAAGTACCCCCGTCCTGCTTCACAGGCACACGGGACCTGTCCCCCACTCGTGCCCCCCCTGCCCGCAGAGCCCCCGCTGCTGGGGTGTGCCAGGGCATCCGCCTGGGCGCAGCCGGCACCTGTTGCACGCGGAGAGCACACGCCGCTTTGTGCAGGGGCGGCAGAGGGTCCGCGCTTCAACTCCCTTGTCAGGATTTAGACCGTTCCTGCCTTCGCTCAGAACTCGTAATACCCATTAACACCAGATGTTTGCTCGCATGGAGGGACTGTGCCCGATGACGCAGGGAGCTGAGCGAGTGCAGATGACCTCCTTTACAGTGGGAGCCGTGCGAAGGGGAATGCCACCCCCTGCCAGGTCTCGCCTGGAATTGCCCCCAGGACCTTGCCGCGCGGGAAGGTCGATGGCTTGTCAGAGTCTGCAATGAAGGCAGCTGCGAAGTCATTGAGAGTGACATCGTGCAAGCTGCACGGGGTTTCTGTAAAGACTAATGGTCAAGGAAGTGAAGGTTTACCTCGCACTGAGGCCCAAGTCAGTGGAGCAGGTGTTAGTGCGTGTTTGTTTCTTCTCTGTAGGAAGAGCTTAATGTCTTAATGCAAAAAACTTGTAGTCGAATCAGGAGCAGATGGGTCTTGCTGCAGTCCCTCAGTCAGAATCCTAACAGAAGTATGTAACTTGTCAGCCGGTGCTGGTCGTAACCGAGTTCAGTCAAGTCAACTACTCCTGCACAACATGCTGGAACAACTGCGCATGCACACACGCATGCAGAGCTGGGTTTAGAGTCAAAAAGGCAAAAGAGCTCACTGTCAGAGTGGGAAGATGAGGCAACATATCCTGCTCAGCGAGCAACAAACCAGTAAGGAGATAAACAGTAGCAAGGAATTATCATGTAAATCCCTTGCTGCTGTTTATCAATAGCAGGGAACATGTGTAAATTAACACCATCCTTGCCCGAGTCCTGCCTCACACCTGGAACCTTCACACTTGAAATAAGTTCCCAAAAAGGTGTGTGTGGGGCAGGCGGGGTGGAGAGCTCTTCACTAGGAGGAGAAGAATATTCTGAAGGGATATAACAGGGGCAGAAACTGCTGAACCACATGCAAGGGAAGTGAATGTTTTGAGTAACTCCTCCCCACAATACCCGCAAAGGAAACCACAAGAAAAATTAAGAAACAGATAATCTGTTAAAGGATAAATACCCTTTTTCCTCCTCACACCCTAGACAGATACTTCAGTTATATTCCAGAGAGGACTAGAGGTTGATTTAAATAGCAACACCATCTGCAGTTACACTAGTTAGAGGAAAAGGCAGCTGAAAAGTCTGCAAATATCAATGGTGTAGTTTCTACAGCAATCGTGGTGTGGCCTGTCTCAGTACAAGTAGCATTTTATATTGCTGTTACATTCCATGGTTTATATTACAAGGTATTTGCAAATATGGCCAAGTTACAATTGCAAATTAGGATACACTGCAGAAATACTTCCACAGTGCACGGGTCCCACAGCATGCTTGTGTGGGAGCATGCTCTCATGTGGCACCTTTCAATGCCTAAAGCCATAGTCGAAGGCCACATGCAAGAAGTGGGAACTCCCCGACCAGCGCTCTGCTGGCCACCCACCCCTCTTTGGGCATGCCTGGTTTGGAAATAATCCAGTTGGTAATTAGGCAGGAGGCTGCCCTTGGAGGGCCTCCCTGTCTGAGGGCCAAAATACACACTCCAGCCATCCCTACACATGTCCCAAGCCTTGCAGATTTTGCTCGCAGCTGTGCTAAGGTCGGCCCTGAGGCCAGGCCCAACTCATCACAGTATTGAGCCTTTTTCTGCCCTGGTAAGGGCCACACTCATACCACCTCCCTCTCGCTCTCCGGCTCTCACCCCTTCTCTTTCATCCCACCCTTCCTGGGCCTCACCCCTGCTGCCCCCTCTCTCCCGGGGACCACATGCACCTTGCCCTCACCCCGAGGGTCCTCAGGCTTGCTACTTTTCACTCCCTGGCCAACAAGTGCACAGCCTTTTGGGCATCTCTCACTGCCCTCATCAGCACAAGCTCTGGGCTGCTCACTAAATGCTGTGCTGACTCTGCCCCTGGTCTCTTCCCTGGGCAACTCCCCCAGCTGCTCTCCAGCAAGGGGCTAATGGCTCACCCCCTTCTCCTTGCAGCTCCTCCTCTGTTGCCCTCTAATTGGGCTCGGGCACCCGAGGGCTTCCCTGGGCCTAACCCAGGCCCCCGTGCTAGCAGGGCCTCCACCCAAGCCCCTGCCCACAGGCCCTGAACTCATGCCCCTCACTCACAGGGCTTCACCCCTCCCACTCTCTACTCTGGGGTCAAACACCCCCGGAGGCTCAGATGCTGCTTGTCTGCATGCCTGGCCCAGAGTTCGCCCCTTCTCACCAGGGCCTCGACTGCTCATCTGACGGGGTCTTCCACCCCTTCAGGCTCAGGCGCACCTCGAAGCTTACCTGGCCTTCACCACACCCCTTCGGGGTCATGCACCCCATTGGGCTCAGGTGTCCCCTATGGATGTCCCTGGCCCCACTACTCCCTCTCTGATGTTACCACATAGCCTACTGGGTGGGAGGGGGAGGGTTTAGGCACCCCAACCTACCTTTCACCTGGAAGGTCCTCAAACCTGGCATTTCAATGGCCCTGCCCCACCCGAGGCCAGACCACCAGCTCTCCCAACCCCAGCAGGGTGCAGCTTTAGGCCATGTCCGGGACCACTGAGGCCTCCTCCTTCCCCACCTGTATCTCCACGCTGGTCTTGGAGCAGCAGTTCTTCCAGGCAACGCTACTTCCACGGTGCCTGGCAGCAAGTGCTGCCTCCCGCCGTGGGACTTAAAATGGCCACTCGTTAGGGCTGGGCCGCACCTGCCTGCTGCCTGACCCAGGTCTTAAAGTGGCAGAGCCCTCACACTGCTCTGACACCCCACCCCCATCCAGTGTTTATCGGGAAGGCTTTTCCCTGCTGCTCCCAAACACAAGCTCCCCCAAAGCCTGTGATAGCCCCGAAGTGGCGAGCACCCCACTGGTGCTGCGCCACACCATAGGAAGTGTGGGCTCGTGACTTCAGGTCCTTTGGAAGCTCCCTTGGTGCACGAGACATTCTCCTCTTGGGCTGGTTTAAGATCGGGAGCAATACTGAGGAAGTCAAGGTTATGCTGGTGTGAATGGCAGAGAGAGCAGCTGCTGACAGGGTGAATCATTTTAGACAAGGTTGTGCTTCCACAGGACTCTGCTCACCTCAGAGTGAGTTTAGCCACTCAAAAATATCCGAAGTACTTTATGAGTTAAGAATGTTTTTTTCCAAGTTTGCAGACTGTGTAAGAGGCTAAATGAGATCAAAATAAAGGAGGTATTTAAAACGATTACTGTAAGATCAAGCATGGACTTTTGCACCCAAACACTCCATTCTTCTAAGGGTTGTAAGAACCTGAAACCAGGGGCTTGGGACGAATGTGCCTGCTCAGCCATACCAGGGTCTGTGTCTGCTGAATTACGGTTTGTAAGAAATAGGGATTGTGACTGTGTCTGCGCATTTGGGAAACTCACAGTTGAGCACAGGCTACCATGTGCGGTGATATCTAGTGAAGGCATAAAGAGAGATGAAAAGATGTTGAACGTAACGTGTGAAGTGTTTTAAATCCCCCGAGATGAAACGAGTGTGATATGGCCTGTTGGTGTTCAGTGTTCAGCCTCTGCTCACGGGGTGAGGGTCCAGTGCAGTCAGCAAGCAGTGCCTCCGTGGACTTGAGGCCACGTGCTCGGCTCTGCGTGTTTGAGAGAGCGAGGTGCGAGTTGATGCTGTACCTGGAGACAGAAATGCATCTTCTCCATCCAGGTGAAAGATGTTGGCACTGCAGCCCATCCCTAACAGGAGGGGAACAGACGGGTCACTGCTCCAGACTGCCAGCCCCATCATTATAAATTAAGCTATTAGGCGAGAAGGTTACAGCTTGCAGGTAGAGACCCGGGCACTGTCTGAATGACAAAGGAAGGGAGCAACAGCTCAGTCCCAGACAAAACCTTTGGCCCAAGATGGTTTGAGAGCCTGGAGTGAGCATGACTTCACTGTCAGCAGCATCCCTATAAATCTCATATCCCACTGTTCAGTGTATGAAACAGCTTGGACTTCTCCTCAGCACAGAGGAAAGAAATATTTACCTCCCAACAAAGATCCTTTCTTCTTATTCCAAGGATTCTGCATTTACAGAAACTCTTTGAGACTTTATGGCAGAGTGGCTCCTGTTGGCAGAAGGCCGAAGCAAACCCAGTCAAAATCACGTTCTCCATTACTGAGAATAGTAGTATCACATGATTGCACTATCCAGATTTCTCAATGGCCTCCTCTGGAAGAAAGCTCTGTTATGGTTATGGGCTCCTGTAAACATCATAAGCTGTTGTTTGATGCATCTGCCTACAGTCCTCTCTTCCCCCTGGCAATGGGTCATCAGGCTAGGTTCCCAGTAGTATCTATCTCCCAACTGTCGCTGGTCAACGACCCTCTAACTGAGGTGGCACTGCAATTGCTTGGGTCATTGTAGGATTAGAGAATTGGCCTGGAAGTTTCTGAAATGGAAAAATGAAGTTAGTGTATTAAGTGTACTCTGAAAGGGACCTTTCAAAAGGGCAGTCTTTAGTTTATGGTCCTGCCCTCAAAAACCATGTTTCCCTTTCCCTTAGTATCCTATAGCAACATGTTAATCAAAGAGCAGATCCTGCTCCCATTGATTAAATAGCAAAACCCCTATCTATTTCAGTGGGAAGAGGTTTGGGCATAAAGAGAGGATGAGGTGATTTTTTTTTGCTTTGCTTTGGGAGCTTACCAGCCCTTGTCTAAAATGCGATCATCATACACCTTTGTCAAATGTCAAGCCCTTTCTGGAAATACTATGATTTCAATTCTCTCCTTTGAGGCCAGTCATTTATTCTGAATTGCTGTGGGAGAGGTGTTGCAGCATTAAAGTGTCTGATAAAAAGCTTATTTAGCTCCCTGCTAGGTGGTGACTGCTTGGAAAACTAATAGAAGATTAAACTGTTTCTGACAGGCTTGAATCACTGGGAGGAAATTTGCAGAATACAAATTCCAGTGGGACATGGATTTTTTATTTTTGATGGCTTCCTATTACTCTAAGTCTATCTGTTCTTCTGGCTGCCAGCTGATCTTGGTTTTGCTAGCCTAAACAGTCTCATAGCTTTCTGATGATATTTCTAATGACGATTCTCATTAATTCACAGGTTTCCCCCCCCACTAAGTAGCTGCATAGCTAATGGCAGCTCAGAGCCCTTCCTGATTTTCACAGAGGCGGGTCTCACACACTCATTTCCTCTATTCTGTCCCCTATGGGATCATATGGAATCAAGGTTAGAAAAGGTTAATCAGAAGTCTTAGGAGGATTTGTGAGCTGGATCATTTGGCATGTTACTTGGATTGTCTCCTGCTTCAGCATCTTCAGCTCAAGAAGCACTTTATCCTTTTCTGGTTGGAAATTAGCCTTTTATCTTGAGACCCAATTACGTGCCAGACTGTGACGTGTGTTCGCACTCAGGCTGCTGTTGGACTCAAAGGCATATCCAGTGTCGGGTAGAGCACAACTCGGATTCTGTCAAATGCCTCTTCGTGCGGGCATCGCCGTGCTTGGAGCGTCATGCTAAGGGTGTTAATGACTTGAACTGCTGTGCCATGCAGGTCAAACACATACTTTGCGTTAAACGGATGTTAGTCACATTCAGAGTTTAGCACCTTTCAGGTTCCAGCCTGTGGTTCCTCATATTGTTACAGAAACGTTGTCCCCTGTTGCCTTTGTTGTGTAGAAGTTTGGTGGTAGATACTAACACATCTCCTCACAGAGGTCTGAAAAATACTTTCACCAGTAAGACGGTCTCCTTGCAAAGTAGTGGGACGGGGCTTAAGTGACCAGTTTCAGAGATTTCAAGCTGCTATGGCTGTGAAGAAGCCTAATAGCGGGTGCACAATGGTATCTCTGTCTGCAGGCAGGCAGCACCAGTGCTTTTGCTGCTGCTCAAAGCCCTCCAGCCTGCCTGCATGGTCTGTTTTGCACCAGCATCAGCAAGGGGCTTTTTTATTCCATTTTTCAAAGTAGATTCCAACTTGAGTACCTCTGTTTTTACACATCAGGTTTTGAACATCTAAACCCTGATGTTGAGAGGTGCTGAGGAGCTAAAACTCCAACAGGAGTTAGTAGGAAGCTTGGCTGTTGAATAACTCTGAAAATCATATCCCAGGCATCCAGAAGTAGATGTGTAAAGAAGTAAAGGCTACCTTTGAAAATGCTAACCTGCAGGGTACTAACCATTGCTAAGGTGAGGAATGCCCTCATACCCCAGACATGGCGTGATTACCCTTCTTCCCAGAACTGGTGCGCAGTGATTTCCGTAAGGATTTCCAAGAGTCCAGGGTACAGTTCTTTGTCCTGAATTCCTTATTTCTTCTTTGTGCATGTATATGTATTTCTGTGTAGCCAAATGCACACTGGATTTATCACAATAAATTTAAACGTATTTTAAAAAATCTCTTCTAGCAAAATCAAAAATCCCCAAGTTCCTTTGTTTTGTTACTTATTCCCATTTGTCATACACGAATACTTTAAGTTGTTATTTTATTAGCTGTTTAATTTTAAATATCCACATAACTCTTAAGGAATCTAGATACACTATTAATGTGAAACATTCAGCGTCTGTGAGGCAGATATTCTTGCACAATGTCTAGTCAGAGAAGTAAATTGAAGGGGATTTAAGTATTCTGGATTATGTTATTAACAGAATAATTCATTTGAACAGAATATGAGCTTTCATAAAGGGTGCCTGATTGTTGCCTGCTTTTTGTACAGTTACGTTTCAACGCAGTCGAGCAAATTTTGGAACCGGCAGAAGAGCAAGAGGTTCCCAAGTAACCACAAAATATTTCCTATCCCATACCAATATACTGAGCTTCCTTAAATTGTTTCTGACAGTGGTAACTTTAGTAACCCTAATGTGCACTGCATTATCTCTCATTTTGAACAGGAGCCTTTCTGGGGCCCTGGTTCTCTGAGAATGATGTTGCATGCGTGCCATCCATCCATCCAAAGATAGGAAGTCCTTACTTTAAAGTAAATCATTTACCTTGTTAATCCTGTGCCCCTCCTTGCACCTAGCAGTTTACTTGCAAAAGTCACAACAATCTGACAGAGACTAGAGGCCCTCTGGCTAAATGAATTGCTGTCACTTGGGTACCTGCTCTTGTATGCTGAGGAGAGGGTAGACTGCTAAGATAGCAAATGTAGCATGCAAAACTCTTAATATAAAATGGCTCAAATGCCCTGTGATGACTTCCTTTCTGTTTCTGAATATCAGACGCTAACTGCATTTGTAATATTTTCTTCTTCAAGGCTCTCAGCTGACACTGTACTCAGTTTAGGAAACAGGCATGGGGTTCATGGGTTTTTCATATGCAAACCCTTTGTAGTTGACATCCTCCCCGATGCCAAGCGGGAGAATTGATCCCTAATAGGGGAGAGGAATTTCTGTCTGAATGACATTTGGGTTTCCACCCAGTGTTCACACTTACAGAAGAGGGCTGCACTTGCAGTTTATGGAGTCAGTGCCTGAGCAGCGCAGTCCCTGTAAGGACGGGGCCCTGTTAGAGATTGTCTTTGAAAAGCAGCATCGTCCTGTAGCATTGAACAGGGCTTGGTCCCTGGGTCAGTCACAGCCTCATCTGGTGACCAGGGATAAGACTTCGTGGCAGTGGCCACATGAACAGCAATGCATACATCTGGAGCAACTTGCACTGTTGGGGGGTGGAACGCGTGGGAGCCTGACACGTGCAGCC